CCTAAAAGGCGTAAGAACTAGATTTTGGTTTAGACTCTGTTCCTTAGTTTCTTTAAGATTTTGGAGTCCGGAAGTGGTGGCTCACGCCTGTAATCCCAGCACTTTGGGAGGCCGAGACGGGCAGATCACAGGGTCAGGAAATCAAGACCATCCTGGCTAACAAGGTGAAACCCCGTCTCTACTAAAAATATACACATACACACACACACACACACACACACACACACACACACAAAAGCCGGGTGTGGTGGCAGGCGCCTGTAGTCCCAGCTACTCAGGAGGCTGAGGCAGGAGAATCGCATGAACCCAGGAGGTGGAGCTTGCAGTGAGCCGAGATCGCACCACTGCACTCTAGCCCAGGCAACAGAGCAAGACTCCATCTCAAGAAAAAAAAAAAAAAGATATTGGGAAAAATCACTTAAACTCTACGGGCTTCTGTACCACTTAGGTTTCTCAAATTTGATGCAAGTAACGGGAACTTGCTATGGCTTACTTGAGCCACAGGAGAAAGATACTGCAAGACTCACAAATGCTTGGAAGGTTGGGAATAGGTTTGGAAATGGGTAAGAACCAAGCACCAGGTTGACCTGAACTGAAAGGAAACTGAGGTGCTATCAGGGAGAAATATGAAATGAAGGATGAAATGTGTCTGACATCCTTTGCTTCTGTGTTTGGAGATGAGTAAGCAGGGAGGGGGTGCATATGCAAACGGGGTGGTCAGAAATGCTTTGGCCGGATGTGTATCTGAAGGCTATGTGCAGCTGAGGAAGGCTGGGCCACCGCAGGAGCAGAGAGGCTGGCCAAGTTGGCATGCAGCAAACAGGAAGTAGAAGGGATCTTAAGCAAGCAAAGTGGGTAGACAAGATTATGAGGAATAAGCACCAATGACGTTTTCAACAAGCATTGAAAGCTTCCAAATGCTTCTAACAGTTACTGCCTTTACAAACACAGGACAGTCTTGACTATGTGAGACTGTGACAGTCTCCTCATGCCTATGAAATGACAGATAGTACTTAGCACTGACATGAGCTTCGTATTTGAAGGCAACAAACTTCTGAACCACATGTAGCTTCTGAAATCAAAAGATGCAAACTGGCAGGCCACAGGTCAGATATGACATGCAGAAAAAACTAGTTACTGTCTTAGTCTAGTTTGTGCTGCTTACAGAATATCAGAGACTGGGTAATTTATAAAGAACAGAAATTATTTTTCATAGTTGTAGAGGCTGGGAAGTCCAAGATCAAAGGGCCATCATCTGGTGAAGGCATCCCTGCTGTGTCAAAACACCATGGAAGGCATCACATGGGCAAGAGAGAGGGAAGGGGGGCAAACTCCTTTTTATCAGGCACCCAGTCCTGTGATCCATTTATGAAGACAGTGTCCTTCTGGCCTAATCACTTCTTAATGCTCCCACCTGTTAGCACTGTTGCATTGGAAATTGTATCTCTTACACATGAACTTTGGGGGAACACATTCAAACCGTTACAGTAACCAAAGATAAAAATGCAGATTTCAGACTTCTCTTGGGAAAAAAAAAAAAGGCTCTGGCAATACCAGGGCTGTATTTCCACATGGCAACAGTTGTCTGCTGCCTTCTGTTGGGTTGTGGGCTCTTCACATTGCCATCCCTCCTTATGGCCCCCTTCACTCATAACAGTACCTGCCTAGACCTCGAAGCACTAGTTTCCAACCCTGCTTGAGTTAACGACTTCGATGACAACGGTGCAAGGCCAGAGTGTGGGCAGCCATCTTGAGGGTTACTGGCATGGGCTGCCCAAGTGACCGAGGGTATTAACCTCTGCTCTTGGAACTTCTTTAGTAGGATCTCTTCACTCCTGACTTACTACTTGTAACTGTTGGAAACAATCATTTATTCTACCCTTACTAAGCCACATCTGTCTTTTCTGTCAGAGCCAATCTTCAAGCATATGCTTCCTCAAAGGACTTTAATTACCAGATAGTAGAAGTGGGAGCAAAGAATCCCCATCTAGCACCTTCTAAAAGGTAGTAGAGAAACCAACGACAACAAATCTGAGAAAACCAGTTGTTTGACTTCTTTGAAAACAACCTCTAAGAAAAGCCTTCTCTTGTGAATAGCTGTAGACATGCTGGACACTAATTAATGATGATGCCCTTTAGTGAGTCTCCTCTGCACATACCTGATTCCATCTGGACGCTGACCCTCACATACTTCTATCCCTGAACTCTGGAACACAGCGTATCATACAATGTATGATTTAATCTGGACTCTGCTGGAGCCATTCTCTACAAAGCAGCCACAACTTTTTCTTGCCTAAATCCTGTCAAGTTGCTTAATTTTTATTTTTAAACCATTACCATAAATCTACTTTATCAAGCTGCTTTCAAGATAAACTTTAAAATGCTTAGAGCAGTCTACAAATTCTTGCACTGTTTGACTCTTCCTTATCTCTCAGGCTTCCTCTCCCATTGCATCTTCTCTGACTCTTTCGTTTTGACCATATGGATCTTCTTTCAACTTGTGGAAGATGCCAAGCTTGTTCCTGCCTCAGGTCCTTGATACTTGCTGTTCACTCTCCTGGGAGACTCTTCCTCCCATCTCAGCTGTTAAATACCAGCTGGTCAGACTCCTTCCCTGCCTTCCACCTTCCTCCCATTCTCCCACTCCTTGCCCTCATTTCTCAGAGTCCTCAGCTCTCCTTTCTACTGCTCTCAACACAATTTGTCTGTTTTCCGCTAATCTGCAAACTCTACAAGAGACCTTAACTATTTTGTCCCACCGAACACTCAGAGTCAGCACAGTCCCTGCCATAACAGTGTAGGTAAGCAATACTTACCTGTCAAGTGAATAAATGAAACACCCGATTCCATCCCCCAGGCCAGCTTAATACCACGTTAGATGATCTCACGGACTGAATAAGACATCCTTCCTTTTAAAGAATATTTTTATTTTAGCTTCACATTAGCAAACTCAGAATGGTTTATTGTAAGATAAGCCTGGTAGAGAGGAAAGCTATTAACCTTCTAGGGTCCTAAAGTGGAACTAGGAACTGATTAGATACGCAGATTTTCAGGCATTATTTCAGACAGCCCAGTCAGAGAATTCTGGGGGTGTGGCCCAGTAATCTGTTTCAACAAACCTTTCGGGTGATTCTGACACACACTAAAGTTTGAAAGGTTTCTTTAAGGCTTTCCAGTTTTCTTTTCTTTTTTTGGAGGGATGGTGGTGGTGGGGGGGGGGTCTCCCTAAGTGCCCAGACTGATCTCGAACTCCTAGCCTCAAGCTATCCTCTCCTCCCACCTCGGCCTTCCAAAGCATTGAAATTACAGGCCTGACCCACTGCGGGCCGCCTCCGTCTTTAACTTAAAAAAAATTTTTTTTTGGGGGGGCTTAATCCTTTCTATTATCCTGCTAGTAGAATCTTACTACTCCTGAGGGTAATCTTTGTCGTAGTCCAAAAGCCTTGAATAAAGGCTGTTTGTAGTTTTGCAGAATATATTCCTGGGCGGTTTGCCTTCCTCAGGAGCTCAGGCCTTGGGAGGTGGGGGTTGGGGGGCAGGGCTACATTCTGAAGTCCTGTAACAACGCACAAGTACAACTGAATAAAACTCGGAACAAAGGCATCAGGGCCACGGTGCAAGCCTTTGTTCATCCGTTCCCCGACTGCTCACCCTGTGTGATATCGCTCTTTTCCACCCAGAAAAGCAGCCACTCAAGTTTTAAGAATGGATGCATGCCGCGGACGTTTTCGATTAGGCCGTTTTCTCCCAGGCACTGGAGGATATTCGTGGCTGCAGGAGGCGCTTCCACTCTTTCCTCAACCTAGCAGAGAAGTAACTGAAACTAACCCAAGGGCTACCACCGAAAAGCCCCTTCCAGCTTCAGAAGCAGAACTAGAAGCTCGGCTAGACTTCTCCGTCTCTACCCTCCTAGAAAACCCGCAGTGGATTTCACTAACTTCAGGATCGGAGCCCCCGCAGGCGAACGCACCTTATTGCGCATGCTCGCTAGCCCCTCCCGCTCGGAGCGGAAGGGGGAGTGCTCGGGGCCTGGGCCTGGCCTGGCCGGGGCGTCGGCACCGGCGGCCATCTTGGCTTCCCGGGGAAAGGCGGCGTGAGGGGAAGAAGTTGTAGGGTGGGGGCAGGAGTGGGGAGGAGGGAAGAGAGAGGGGGAGGAGGCCGCGGCGGGGCAGGGCGGGGACTGCCTGCCTGCTTGGGTTGCGGAAGTGATAGCCGCTGATCGAGCCTGCTGCTTTCTTGCTACTGCTTCGGCTTCCCGGCTACCCCCCGGACGGTGAAGGCGGCCCGGCTGTGGATGGTCAGATAGCGCCTGTCTCCCGCCGCCAATCTCTGGCCCCTAGCAGCACGGAGCAGACGGCGGCAGCAGCAGCAGCAGGCGAGGAGGAAGATGGCGGGACGGCTGCCGGCCTGTGTGGTGGACTGTGGCACGGGGTAAGGGGGCTTACGGGCGGGGGTGGGGAAACTGAGGCGGAGGAAGGAAAATGGCGGGGGAGGGAGGAGGCCGGGAAATGAATGGTGCGGCGGGGTGCTGCCGCCGGCTGTCAGTCCTAGAGTCGCCGGCCAGCGAGGGGTGGGGCCCGGAGCCAGGGCCTCGCCGGTCCCCTCGTTTCTCCCTCCTAGGACTGGGGCGGGGGCGCGGGCCCCAGATTCAACCCGCAACCCTCCCAGCAGCTTCCTCCGCGCGACCCCTCCCGGCCCTTCCCCCACTGCGGTGGGCAGTGCCGCCCAGAGAGTGCTAGGGACGGTTGTCTTAGGGGTGGTCCCCGGGCCCGACCCATCCGGCTTTGCTTTCCCTCCGTGTCCCTTTTTGCCTGTCGGTTTGGGGACCCAGGGGCCGAGCTCGGGGACTGGCCTGGTAGAGGAGCTAGAAAAGAGAAGCGCTCCTGGTAGGTTTTGCAAGATCGCTGTGACAACATTCTGCCCAGGGTGTGGGTGGGGAAAGGGAAGAATCGGACTCTGAAAATGGGAACCTACAGTGGGGTTTTCATTTGACCACCCACCTTCTCCTTTCGACTCCCGGTCATTGCCATCTCCCTCTGCGTTTCAACCGGTGAACCGAGTCACATTTTAATTCGAGGGAGAAAGATGTCATGTGTTACTTCTGTAGCCTCAAAAAAGTCCCCCAGTGAGCAAGCGCGCTGTAACTTCCTTAGTTTTGTCAAAGCCGCTTCCTGCTTTCAGTCTTTTATACCCTTATAAGGTAGTTTTTAGTTTCCAACCTGAACACATCTTATTAGAACTTTTAAAATTAAGCAGATTTTAAAGAGACTGAATTACAGGTGCTTGGTATCCATTTATATGACTTAAAAAATGTGCTTATGTTTCATGGAGAGGGGAGAAAGGAAGCACCCTGGGAAATAAACTAATTTAAGTTGTATTCGTTCATTCTGTAAGGATATCTTGAAGGAAGCAGAAAGGTATAGAGGTATATAGGAATGTGTTTAAGTTGCAAGTAGTTACTCCTAGATCTGTAGGGTAGTTTGCTAAAATGTAGAATGGCTTAAAAGTGATCTTTCATTTTGTATTAATAGACATTTTAGAGAGTTGTACCACACTCATAACTACATAGAGAATAGACTACTCTTATTTTAATGTAGAATCACTGCTTCACGATGACTTATAGGAAAGGGTTTTTTTTTTTCTGTTCTGATTACATCTCTCCAATTCCCAAAACACTCCCAATTTTTTTTTTTTTTTTTTTGAGGGGGAAGGCAGTGAGAGGCTTGTTTTTTTATTATTAATTATAATTATTAATTTCATTATTGTTACTTAAAAGATTGTGTGTCCTTCACTCTTTATGTGAAATTTCTTTAATCTTCATTCTCATAACTAGCTAGTGTGGCAGTTTCTAAAATCCCAGTTAGGTAGAGAGAAACAACCAACTACTTAATATTCTCCCTAGGAAAGCATTAGCCTAGATTAGCCTTGGAACGTCCATGTATTTTATTGATGAACACTTTATTATAAAGTTTTTGATGAACACTTTATTATAAAGTTTTTTCTTAATTGGTTCTCATTTCTCGGAACCAATAGTTTTTTTTTATTTCCCCCTTCTTAGTCTAATTGGTGAGTAGTTTTATGTCTAAGTTCAGTTTTAAAATTAGATTTGGCCTGAGTCAGTAGGATAGAACTTTTTAAATGTGTTTTGTTAAAGTGACGAATATTGCTACATAATTAATGCTTTAGAAATTACTGAGTTGTCAAAAAAATAGTGTAAATAACTGTGGCCCTAAGAAATAATATGGTAACATCTCAAGTAGTATGTTACTTTTCTAATCTCCATTTTTCCCTCTTTGAAATAGTTTCGAATTAGTATACAAGATGTCTCATTGAGGTCAACTGTCCTTAAGTGACCTCCTTTCCTAAAGGGCAACCTTGAATTTAAAACATGCTGAATGACCAGTAGGATCGGGGAGAGGGGTTCAATTTAACCTAGAGTATTTCTGTTTTAAAATTACAATTATTACAATAGTATATTTTTAAGTTATTACACTGGTTTCTCTGATAAGGAGAGGTTGTTAACTGCACATTGATGATTTGAATGGAACTGATTAGGAGTCCCCTTGCCACCTCCCTCTCTTTACCATTTGTCACAATCTGAAATTCCCCCTTTAGAGTTTCAGTTATTTTGGTCCTCAAAAGGCTTTTTGGTCTTGCAGGTTGCCAGTGGTGCCTCCTGGGAAGTTACACCTTCAGCTTTATTAGCACATGGAGGATAAGTCCTTGAGGTCGAGGACCCTGAGATAAGCATCTCTAAATATGGCCTTAACAGGGAGCTTTTACATTTCAAAATTCTGTGGGCCCCGAATGCAAATTGTGCACCTATAATTTGTCTATTTCTTTATGCTTTAGAGAATGCATTCAGTTCTTAGGTCTCTAAATTACAATTACCCACTTAGTTTAAGTAAAAAGTTGTAACCTGAATCAGGTTGCTCATTTCATTCGTTAGATAAATTAGGGAAAAGGTGGCTGGAAAAAAGTGGCCATCTGTAAAACCTGATCGTCTTAGATAAGAAAGCTTTTAAGAGTTAGGAAACTTGAAACTTAATCCCAAAACTTGTCGGGATCGTCCAGCAGAACTCAACATATGAATCACCTAGATTCAGGTCATAAAAGAGAATGCTTATTTTGAAAAGAATTTGAAAAGAAATACTTCATTCACATTGATACCCTTATCTACACACTTTTTTGGTTTGTATTGGAAAGTATTGTAAAATACAATTTGGGCACATAGATTCCCATTGATGGCTTAAAAACTAAACAACAGAACTCAAACTTGCTATTAGTGGTGAAGAAAGCATTTTTTTTAAAAGGCATTCACAAACATTTTAAAAAAAAACCATTGTAACATTTGTACGATCATCCTAAGGCTTTTTTTTTTTTTTTCTGGGCAGTGGAGGGGATCATTTTTTAAAATGTGTTTTTTGTTTTTTCGTTGTTTTTTTTTTTTTTTTTTCTGAGATGGAGTCTCGTTCTGTCGCCAGGCTGGAGTGCAGTGGCACGATCTTGGCTCACTGCAACCTCCACCTCCCAGGTTAGAGCAATTCTCCTGCCTCAGCCTCCTCAGCCTCCTGAGCAGCTGGGACTACAGACGCGTGCCGCCACGCCCAGTTATTTTTTGTGTTTTTAGTAGAGATGGGGTTTCACCATGTTGACCAGGATGGTCTCAATTTCCTGACCTTGTGATCCGCCCGCCTCGGCCTCCCAAAGTGTTGGGATTACGGAACTGAGCCACCATGCCCGACCTTAAATGATTTTTTAAAATGCATGTTTTTACTCAAGTTTCTCCATCATTCAAGCCAAATGAGGGGACTCCTTATATACTTTTGTTAAATTGTAGCTTGGTTACAGAACTGCATTGTGAATTTCCTTTTCCCTTTTATGTCTTTTTTTTTTCCCCGTGGTAAATACAATATTGGTAAATTAGTTTCATTGATTATGATAGCAGAGGTTAATATAGCCTTATGGTCAAAGTCTTGGATATATTCATATCTGGAGTGGATTAAGGAATTTTGCTAATTGACTTCCACTTCTTAGCAATCTTATAATGTAAGCATAAATATTTTGTAGGAGTCAGTGAAAGAGGAGCTGTTCATCTTGTGGCCACATTCTAGCAATTAGTGCAGATAAGAATGATCTTGTTTGAAGAGCAGTAGGGAAAAGCTGGGTAAATGAGGGAAATGTATGGTGGAAGTTCATGTTTCTTCCATAAATTCTGTGCATGTTGTTTAATAATAATGCTGTTTCTTTTTTTTTTTTTTTTTTGAGATGGAGTTTTGCTCTCGTCTCCCAGGCTGGAGTGCAATGGCATGATCTCGGCTCACTGCAACCTCCCTCTGCCTCCTGGGTTCAAGTGATTTTCCTGCCTCAGCCTCTGAAGTAGCTGGGGTTACAGGCGCCTGCCACCATGCCCGGCTAAATTTTGTATTGTTAGTAGAGACGGAGTTTCACCATGTTGGCCAGGCTGGTGTTGAACTCCTAACCTCAAGTGATCCACCCACCTCATCCTCCCAGAGTGCGGGGATTACAGGCATGAGCCACTGCACCTGGCCGAATAATGCTACTTCTTTAGCCATCTCCAAAGGCAGAAATACTCACAATATCTTAACCAAAAAGCACTCATTGAAATTCTTATTCCTTGATGAGTCATGTTTTGCATGCTGTTTGAAGTAAGTACAACAGACATGCTCCTGGTGAGAAGTCAGATTCTTACTTAGACTTAGCGAAAAACTCACCCTCCTTTCCTGCCTGCCAGTTTCATGTTGAGATATTGACTTTGGATTGCAAATACTATATGGCGGTGAATGAACTTTCAGGCTCATTGTAAAAGACAGTTCAGAATTTTAGGCACAGAAGGGAAAGGTCTGATAGAGGACCTGCCGGCCATGCTTTTCTGTGACACCTATTTTTTATAAGTGAGAAAACAGAATTAGAGAATTTAAATTACTTTTTTGATGCTGTCTAGCTGGCAGGTGGTTCAGTCTGCTATTTGTACCTGAGTTCTTCTGTATTTAAGTCCTGTGTTCTCTCTGTTAACACTTTGGGGACTCCTGACTGCCTTTTCAGAACTTTATATGTTGCTTCATTTTTGTTAGTAAAGTTAACTCTATTTCTGTTTAAAGAAATCTTACAAAAAAAAAAAAAATCTCAGCCTTATGAATTTGATTCACCTAATTAGAGAAACCCCTCTGTGTAATCATTCTTACCTGGTTTAGATTCCCCCCCGCCCCACCCGAATGTGTGAATGCCTAGACTATTTCCTTGTTACTTTGCTTAAATTTAATCTCTAGAAAAAAATTACTCTCTAGGTTGTGTTTCTCAGGAAATAATAATAGCTAGCATTTATCAATAATTGTATGTCAGGCCCTGTGCTAAATGCTTTATATTATCTCAACTTTATATTATCTTAACTTTCACAAAAGATAACCTGGAAAGTATTGTCTTTGTTTTATAGGCTAGAAAATTTAGACTTAAGAGAGGTTAAGCTACTTACCCAAGATACTGTAGCAAGTAAGTGTGTCTGAGCCTCTACACTAGATCTTCCTTCTGTAGAAGATAAACCTTTGACATGGCTTGGTGGATAGTAGGAATTCAAATCTTTGTTGTGTGGATGAATGAAGAATTAGGAGTATGGTTTTTAAAAAAAACTACACATCAGAAACACTCCATACCCAGTGACTCAGAATCTCAAGGGTTGGACTGTGAATATTCATTTACATAGGCTTCCTAGATGATTCTTCAGCAGCCCATTCAAGGGCCAACTTTGCAGAAATTCTGAAACCTAGTATTGGCAGTGGAGATGGAGCAGAAGAGATAAGTTAGAAAAAGATTGTTTTTTTCTTTTCTTTTTACGTTTCTTCTGGCAGTTATATTTTGGATTATTTTATTTATGGATAGCAAAGGCTTTGTAGTCGTCTGTTTTTGAGTTCAAGCTCTATCACTTAATAGCTGTATGACTTTATACACTTCAACCTCTGCAGGTCATATTTCTTCCCATCCGTAATTTGGAGATGATAGTGTATACCATATAGGTTTTTTTTTTGTTTGATTTTGAGACGGGGTCTCTTGCCCAAACTGGAGTTCAGTGGCAAGATCATGGCTCACTGCATCCTTAAACTGCTACATTCAAGCTGTCTTCCTACCTCAGTACCCCGAGTAGCTGGGACTACGGGCACGTGCCACCGTGTGCGGCTACTTTTAAAAATTTTTTGTTGAGATGGGGTCTGACTGTGTTGCCTCAGGCTGGTCTCAAACTTCTAGGCACACGTAATCCTCTTGCCTTGGCTTCTCAAAGTGTTGAGATTATAGGAGGGAGCCACCACGCCCAGTGGTTTTTTTTTTTTTTTTTTTGATAACGCTTGAAAATGGTTTGGTATAAAGCCTAGCACACAGTAATAGCACAGTATATCATACTAATCTTTTGGTTTTTTTTTTTTTTTTTGAGCTTAAGTTCTTAAAGAAAGGAATACAGTATGCTATGCTTATTTTCTTATCTCCTGCAGGCTTTGGCCTACCTACCACACACAGTTCTCTGCACAGGCAAAATGTTTTTGCTGATTTGAGAGATTGAAGGAGGTATAGCTAGGACTTGGCAGTTGATTCCAGTGGATTGTAAATAGGCATCAATGAATATTTCAAGATTGTAAGCCTGAGTGGTTGGGACAATAAGGGAGTTAGTTTTAAGAAGCTGAGTAAAATTGGAATTTGTTGTTGAATTTGGAATGATGATTTATAATCGGAAACATTCTAGAGGAAATTAAAAATACAGGAGCTTTGGGAATGAAGGTGGATATTTGGGAATCATAATTTGTTAACTGAAGTTAATCAAATGAGAGCATTCAGAGAGAAAAGAACAGAAAGATTATCAGTTTCCCTTCTTTAAAAAACTGTGGATATGTGATCTAGCTTCTTGAGCATCACAGTGACTGATCGGCTCGTGGTGACTGATCACTATGCTGACAGTCATTCTCTACCTATCTCATTCCGTTTTCTAAGAGGCAAAATCCTTCATCGGGAGGAGAGTTCAGCTCTAGCTAGGTTTCCCTTGTCCAGCATGCTCCTCCTCCCCCAACTTGTGGAAACTGTTAAAGGATTGGACTAGGAGCAGAAGTTTGGAATGGTTAAAATGTAGCAACATGTGTTTCCTGAAACAAAATTCCACCATAATAAAAAAGCATTTGAATGCTCCCTTGTAATTCTATTAGACATGTAGCCTTTTTAATGACACAGCCATAATCAGTGATAGGCAGTAGCATAAAGAAGCAAGTGCAAAGCGATTAAGTAATAATAGCGCTACAAAAATGTGTTCTGTAGCTTACCAAACACAACATTTATGAATTATTAGATAGGAGATAAGGCGATGTTGGATTGTTTTAAATTTAGTTCTTTAAAATAGGATAGTTACTAATATTAGTTTGTGTGCTGATTTGATAACTGTGGGCCTTTATATCAGGAAACAACATAACTTACATAATTGACTAATAGCAGAGCAAAAAAAAAAAAATCTAGTTTTTTTAAAGACGATTTTGCAGAATTTTAATAATAATTTTGTTTCAGAATTTTCAAAATTCTTTCCAAACTATTCATTTAAACTCAAGTCATTTTTGCATACTCCTTGAAACCAGGAAAGGAATAGCATGAATTTGTTTAGCCAGATGTATTCTTTTTTTTTTTTTTTTTTTTTAATTGAGGCAGAGTGTCACTCTGTTGCCCAGGCTAGAGTGTGGTGGCGTGATCTTGGCTCACTGAAACCTCCGTCTCCTGGGTTCAAGCTATTCTTTTGCCTCAGCGTCCCGAGGAGCTGGAATTACACAGGCACCTGCCACGATGCCTGGCTAATTTTTGTATTTTTAGTAGAGATGGGGTTTCACCATATTGGCCAGGCTGATCGTGAACTCCTGAGCTCAAGTGATCTGCCCGCCTTGGCCAGATGTATTCTTTTAGCTTTCCTTCTGCGCCCCAACCCTAATACACCTGAGAAAAATATTCATCTGTTCGGATACTCAATATGCCATCTTTTCCTCCTGCCCAAGGACACTACCTAAACATTTTCTTTTTAAACATTTTGTCCTTGCTTTGGGACTTCATGTCATTTGTGAAACTGCGATACTCTTGGGAAGGGTTTTGATGCTTTTCAGTATTTAGTGTAAAGGAGAGGTTACAATGAGGAGGATAAAAGTCCTAGAAAGAGAATTAGGGTGCAAAAGACCTTGTAGTTTAGGGTTGGCTTAATCTACTATAAACGTGTAAACCATGTTTTTAGTATTAGTGTATAACAGGACACAAGTGTTTGCCTAGTTATAGAGATTATTTTAATTAAATCTAGTGTGTTTTTCTTCTGCTATAAGCATTTTTAAAATTCAGTTACTCAGGGGTATGAATATAGCATTTTATGTGTATTTGTGAAACTTGCTTTA